CTGCATATCATGTTCACACTATTCCATATTGTCTCAATCTTGTGCCAAGGTTGAAAGGGACAGTGACTACCTGGCATGTTCTTTTTGAAGTGAATGTTGGAAACTTCCAAGGGAAGAGCAGAAACATGTTTACATTGGAAGCTTATAGTAGACATACTCTCGTTCATATCAAATTCCTTTAGTGAAAGAAATTCTAATGGTCAAATTCAACATCAATGGAACAGCAAACTGTACTTCTTCCATGAAGGTAGAGGAGGAGAGAATAAGCATTTAATGAGTAATAATCTACCACCATATGATATAAAAATATAAACCAATGAAAGGGAATGTGTTGTAGCTGTTAATATATGCTACAAATACATGTCTTCTAGATAGTATGACTCAGCCCAAGAATAAGGCTTCTAGGACAGAATAAATGGATTGCAACGTTCAAACTATACATAAAAAAGAAACAAAAAATATGAGGACCTCCATAATAGTTGAGTAATATACAAATTAAATCTGGAAATTCTGGCAAATATCTCGTTTACTTATTATTAAGGAAAGGCTGTGAACAGATGAATACCAAAAAGAACCTAATTCAAGCATTAATATATGATTATCCTGCTTTAATTCAAATGTATCAAGGGAAAGCTTTCAGGTACGTTCAGGCTTTTCCAACTGAAGCCAAAACATTTTCAAAGGATGAAAAAAGTACCTAAATATCATTTAGTTTTAAAATAATTAACATTAAGTAATTGTCTATGGCTCAGTTTAATGACAATCATTAATATATTAAGGGTATACTTAAATACCTGAAAATTTAAAAAGATTAAACAAGAACTATTCTAAATCTATGGGATATGTTTTAAAAAAGAGGGGGAAGGTCAGAACAATTTTTTACAACATTTTTAATTATTCTCTGATCTAGAGTAAGAGCATTCCTTCATGCTCTCCTCTTGGCATGTTAATTTGCACTATTCCTAATTTCATTCTGCATCCTTATTAAGAGATTTCTTGCTAATATAAAATAAAGTCTTTATCCCATTGTAATATAGTCCTTGCTTACCTCTTTAGCCTTATGTTTAGCCTTATTTTTCCATCTCTTTAGCCTTATGTTTTATATGTTTAGTTTTATTTTTCCACCTTGGAATGGAAAAATCAGTAATGTAAATTTGCTTTATCATTTAATACTTCTGCACAATTGTGCATACTACTTTCTTCCTTTCCTTTTCATTTCCATCTCAAAAAACCTATTCATCGTCAATGATGGAATTAGCGAATGTCCTTCCTGTTGGAAGCCTTTGTACAGTAGGAGACAATAATTTCCCTCTACCCTCCTGCCTTCTTGACTGAGGTCTCTTAAACAAAAAACAGATTATTAGAAGGACAAAAACAAGTATATTAACATGTATATGTGGTAAATATCCATAGCAGGTACTCAGGAAACTGAGTAACCCAAAGAGAGGACTCATTTGAATTTGGACTTAACTATCCAAATCACCTTCAGCTGAAGCAGAAAAAGTTTAATTTGCATTTCCGGTTTCATGTACATTTCAAGTTACAAAATATTTGTAAACTTGTCATTCTCAAACTCTTCCCCAAAAGTTGAGGAAAATGGAATTCTTCCAAACACATTTTATGAGGCCATTACTGTTATTACAAAAGCAGACACGGGTATCTCACACACACACACACACACACAACACAGAGAGAAAGAGAGAGAGAGAGAATTACCAACTATCCTAATCAACATAGATGAAAGAAATCCTCAACAAAAATCATACAAACCAAATTCAACAAATATATTCAGTAGGATTTATTATAGCTAAGCAAGAATGGCTTAATTTTTAGTACAGTGAAGTGGTGTGTTACTATACTAGTAAGCTATAGTAATATAAACAGTATGATATTAGAATAAAAATAGACACAGACAAATGGAATAGAATCAAAAACCCAGAAATAAACTTAGGCACACAGTCTACAGCAAAGGATCAAGGATATACATTAGAGAAAGTCTTTTCAGTAAATGATGTTGGGAATACTTGAAGCCACATGCAAAGGAATGCAACTAAACCCTTCTCTTACACCGTATACACAAATTAACTGAAAATGGCTTAAAGACTTGGATGTAAGAACTGAAACCATACAATGCAAAGAGAAGAAAAAGAAAAAAACTGACAAAGCACTGCATGACGTTGGCTTCAGTGATATCACTGGGAACTGAATTCCAGCAGCAAGAGAAACAAAAAAATTGAACTATATCAAAGTAAAAAGCTTCTCCAGAATGAAGACTCTATCATTTAAATGAAAAACACCGCACTGAATGTGGGGAAGAAATTTGAAAGTTATAAATCTGACAATGGCCTAATATTAAAGATCTGCAAAGAACTCAACCAAAAAATAAATAAATAAAAAGCCCAATCAACAAATGGTCAGAAAAGTTTAGTACTTTTCCAAAGAAGACATCTAGATTACCAACAGACACATGAAAAAACTCTTATCAGCATTTATCATTAGGATAATGCAAGTGAAAACTACAATGAAATACCATCCCATACCTATGAGGATGACCCATATCAACAAGACCAGAAACTGCAGTTGTTAGCAAGAATGTGGAGAAATACAAACACTCATACACTGTTGGTGGTAATGTAGACTTGTCCTGTCCCTATGGACAGTAGTATGAACTTTTCTCAAAACATTAAAAATAGATCTATTATACCATCCAACAATCACATTCCTGGATATCTACACAATGAATGTAAAAACTAATTCAAATGAAAATAAGCACTCACGTGTTCATTGCAGCTCTATTGACAATAGTCACATTAAGAAAAACTAAATGCCCAAGGACAGATGTGTAGATTAAGAATATTTGGTATAGCTACTACTCAGCTATAAAAAGAGATAATATCTTGCTATTTGTTGCAACATGGTTGGATCTTGCAGGTGGGGGGTGGGGAACAGCAGAAGATATGCTAAGTGACATAAGCCAGAAAAAGAAAACAAATATGGATGGTGTCACTCATATGTAGGAGATACGCAAACAAAACAGGGTCAGACAAAACCAAACCAAAAAAAAACCCCAAAAGTCTGTTAATTGAGACTGCCAAAGGTGCAAAGAGAGGTTGAGAACAAAGGGGAGAGTGGGCCCAGTGGACTATGATGGAGGACTCTTGGTGCCTTCATGATATATGTGGCTTGGTAACATACACCTGAAGAGTTGAACCTGTGCCTCAGAATCATTTATTTTTGTTGTACTTCAAAATAATTTTTTTAAAAGCTTTGACTTTTATTCAAGTTCTTTAGCTGTTGTTAGCAGTCTGTGCTCTTTGGGTACAGCACTATTCTTATTTTCAAGAGTAAATATTTCACTTAGAACTGTAACAGATATTTAAATGACTGGAACAGATGAATTTTATTTGCATGTTTTTTCTATATTGCTGAAACAGAGTTGCAAATGAATTCAACACCAAGGTGTTAGGGGACTAGAAAAAAGAAACTTGGGATCCAATAGATAATTATCAAGGTAAAGGTACATATTCCCCAGGTGACAAATTCTACCTATTCTAGCTTTTATTATTCTTAGGATAGTGTTCCATTTATTTCACTAGTTCAGAATTTTTAATTGGATATGACATGTTTCAAAGACAAAAGAAATGCCTAATTCACTCTAACAAACTTGTTAGTCATTGTTTATACCAAGAGGATTTCTACCCTACAGAGAATAATAGTTTTCTTTTTCCTTTGTTGATAAATCAAAGTTTTTCACTGACCTACAGAAGCCAGGCATACTTTAAAGTAAAATCATCTTAAACTAACAAAGATATGTATCATTGGGCCTCCCCGGTGGCGCAGCGGTTGAGCGCTGGGTTGTCAAGCTGCCCGCAGACTCTGCAGTGTCAGTTCGATCCCCGGCTGCTCCCCGGCCACCGGAGGAGGGTCCCACATGGCGCGCAGACCTCTCCTGCCGCCCGCTGCTCCCCTCAGCAGTGTACTTCGGTCCTTCTGCCTGCTCTGCCTCCCGCTCTGGCTCTGGTGAATTCTCTCACCCTCCCGCGCTTCTGACTGTACCCAGTGCATGTATAAACAAACAAACAAACAAACAAATAAATAAATAAAACATGCCTCTATAAAATATATGTTAAAAAAAAAAAACAAAGATATGTATCATTTATACTTTATTAATATTTTTTTGCTCCTTTTTGATTCTTTAATAAATGTATCCAAAAAATAATTGAGTAAGAATATATTAAAAAGTCAAAGTGATTATCTAATAAAAGTATGCTTTGATATATTTCCATTTTAATAGTAATTCACAGTTTATGATTATTCTTTTCCTTTTAAAGTTGACATTTTGCTGGTACAGTTTTGCTTGATAGAAAAGGTTTTGGCCTCTTTAGGAACAATTTGTAGAGAGAACTTCACCCATTACCTAGGTTTCTGTTTGTTATAAAATCACAGTTTTTCTGGAAATAACATTTTTATGGTTTACACTGCTCAGTGCATGATTTTAAACTTGAAATAAAGGTGGCAGTGGTGGTGTAGGGGGGTGGTTTCAGTTTCAGTCTACCCCAATTCTGTTAGTGTTTGCTTTGTTCAGCAATCACTCTGATCTTCCTGGCAGGGAGCAAGATCTTGAGAACAAAACTAGTAGTGACTGTGTAGATAAAAAGGCATGAATTCTGCTTTTAAGGCAAAGGGGGAATAGTCTACAAAAGAATGAAAATAGGAATAAACGTACAGCATTGTTAACCTGCAGTTCTGTTGTATCTTTGAAAATCTTAAGCTGTAAAAAAAAAAGTGACACTACAAAGGTACATAATTAAGTGACGGAAAATCTTGAAAAAGGTCACCATTTTGTTACTGGCCAACTACTTGACAATAAAATAGACTAGATTATTCACAATTGAGAAACCATAGGCTAGAAACTCATAATTGAGAACCCTATTCCTTAAAATTGACAGGAAGTATTTCCACATCATATGAAGTACAATAACATGTTATTTATTCTCTAGCAGAACAACTCTCTCAATATGGTGACGATGATGGGGTCAAGAAGAGTACTCCAGAGAAGAATGGGAAAGAAATATCAGAGCAGACATTGCAGAAGGTAGTCTAATCTTTAAGATATTGAACTGAGCAAGTTAAATCTGAATTTAACATAAAGGATTATATTTTAAAACGAGGCCTCATGAACTTAAACCTTGTGTGAATTCTTAATTTAAATTCATAATTCAAAATCATTGGCTTGCCAAAATGGGATAAAAAAAATCAATGTTAGTGAAATAAATGTGGAAACACTTGTGCTTTTGTTGACAGATTAAAAATATTTTTAAAGATGAAAAGAAGAGAATGACAATCATAAAAATATAAAAATTTCTACTATATGTGCTTATTAAGTTATAACTTTGCAGTTTAACTTTTAAATGGGACAAGACTAGAGTGCTATACTTAAGCAAACACACAGATTTACAATATTTGAACTAAAAAATAATTGAAAAATTTTATCTTTTCCATAATAAAATGGCAATGTTTAGAATTTTCATTTTGAACTTAAATTTATGCATGATTCATCTCATTTTAGATAAACATTTGTGTCCATATGGGAATACTGTCTCAGTATTAATAGGACCATTCATGTAAACCTTATAGTCATTTTGCATTTTGCCTACTTGTATAAATAGTAAAATGTTGTATAAAAATTTTATCACTTGTCTTTACAACTTTATTTAATTCATTTTTGTATATAAAAGTTGTTATGAAGTTTAATTAAATGGATTTGATTGCATGTTAGCATTTTTGTTTATTATTCTAAAGGAAATATTCAGATGGGTTTATTCTTATAATTGATTTGTTACTGGGCTATCCTGATTACTTATATAAAGCTGCAAATGCACAAATATATAAGCAAAAATATTACTGTGTATACTTACGTTTCTAAAATATGTATGTATTGATTTACATCAATAGATGATGTGATTTGTTATAATTCCAACACTTGCCATATGGTCAGGTTAACATAATAACCACAGAGAACAGAAGTGTTCACATTCATTTATCCTGTGGTAAATGGTAGTGGTAATAGAGTATCCATTACCACCCAAAGTGTCATGGAACTTATACTAGTTTATCTACTTTGCTTTAGAACAATACTTTTTTGTGCCAGATTTTATGTAATTTTTATCTCTATGGATATATAACACTAAGTTACTTACTGCTTTGGGTAGAAACCCTAAAGAAATCCATTATTTCCTCCTAGCTGCCATAAATGACTACTACCATACTGAATCCAGAATTAAGTTCTGACAAGTCAACAGAAATTATTTTCATTGAACCATATGTCAAATTAGCATACTAATTTGTCACTATTTTTATATTAACATAATGTAATTGTTAGAGTAATGATTTAACTTCTCTAGATGAGTTTCCTTATTTTAAAAGGATGTATATAAAACTCATTCAAAATGGGTTTTAAAAGATAGCAGCACCATGTAAGCAATATTTGTACATGGTGGAGATGAAATGGAACTACATATATTTTAGTGTATATGACAGTTCACACTGTTTGGGGATAACTGTTCTCCCAAAATGCTTACATCAATGTTCTCATCTACAGTGTCTCAGATTGTGACTGGATTTAGGGATGGGGTCTTTAAAGAGTTAAGTTAAATGAAGTTAGGGTTTAAGCCACCCAGTCTTTATACTTTATTTATTTATTTTTTTTAATAATAAATTTTGTTTTTATATTCCCCCATACAATTGCAAACGCCCCATTCTGACCCCAATCCTTCCCCTCCTGCCCCCCACCCCCCAAAAAGTGTCTCTGGTTCATAGTTTTTTGTTGATTTTGATTTTCACTTTCTTATATTCATTTTCCTGGTCCCTTATTTAAGTTTTCTAGATTCCTGCTATGAGTGAGACCATCCGGTATTTTTCTTTTTCTTTTTGGCTTATTTCGCTGAGCATGATCCCTTCCAGCGCCATCCATGTTGCTGCAAATTGCATGTGTTTATCTTTTTTGAATGCTGAGTAATATTCCATGGTATATATGTACCACATCTTCTTGATCCAGTCATCTATTTTTGGGCATTTGGGTTGTTTCCAAAGCTTAGCTATTGTAAACAGTGCTGCTATAAACATAGGGGTGCAGGTGCTCTTTGGAATTGATGTTTCTGTGTCCTTTGGGTAAATACCTAGGAGTGGAATTGCTGGATCATATGGAAGCTCTATGTTTAGTAGGTCCAGAAATCTGCACACAGCTCTCCACAGTGGTTGGACAAGTTTGCACTCCCACCAACAGTGCAGGAGAGTTCCTTTTTCTCCACACCCTCGCCAACATTTGTTGTTGCTAGTTTTTTTAATATGTGCCATTCTCACTGGTGTAAGATGGTATCTCATGGTAGTTTTGATTTGCATTTCCCTGATGACAAGTGATATTGAACATTTTTTCAATATGCCTGTTGGCCATTTGCATTTCCTCTTCAGAGAAGTTTCTTTTTAGTTCTTCTGCCCATTTTTTGACTGGATTATTTTCTTTGTTGTTGTTGAGTCTCATCAGCTCTTTGCAGATTTTTGTGATCAGTCCTTCATCATTAGTGTTGGGTGCAAAAATGTTCTCCCAGTTGGTGGGGTTTCTCTTTGTTTTTGTTATTGTCTCTTTTGCTGTGCAGAAGCTCTTTAATTTGATGTAGTCCCAGCTGTTTATCTTTGCCTTCACTATCACTGCTTTGGGTGATGTGTCTGTAAAGATGTCTTTGATGTGCAAATCCCGTAGTGTTTCGCCTATATTTCCTTCTATGTATTTTATGGTTTCAGGTCTTACGTCTAGTTCTTTAATCCATTTTGAGTTGATTTTTGTGTATGGTGTGAGGTAGTGGTCAAGCTTCATTCTTTTGCATGTAGCGACCCAGTTTTCCCAGCACCATTTATTGAACAAACTTTCTTTGCTCCAATGCAGAGTCTTTGCTCCTTTGTCAAAGATTAGTTGACCATAAATCTGTGGGTTTATTTCTGGATTTTCTATTCGATTCCATTGGTCTGTATGTCTGTTCTTGTTCCAATACCATGCAGTTTTGATGATTATGGCTTTGTAGTATAGTTTGAAGTCTGGGAGTGTGATGCCTCCATTTCCTTCTTTTTTTTTCAGTAGAGCTTTGGCTATTTGGGGTTTTTGGTGATTCCATATGAATTTCATCAATAATTGTTCTATTTCTTTGAAGAATGACATTGAAATTTTGATTGGAATAGCATTGAATCTGTATATTGCTTTTGGTAGGATGGCCATTTTAATAATGTTTATTCTTCCAATCCATGAGCAGGGGATGCCTTTCCATTTCTTTGTGTCTTCTTCTATTTCTTTTAACAGTGTTTTATAGTTTTCTTTGTATAGGTCCTTTACCTCTTTTGTTAGATTTATTCCCAAATATTTGATTTTTTTTGTTTCGATAATAAAAGGGATGGTTTTTTTGATTTCTTCTTCTTCAGATTTGTTGTTTGTGTATAGGAAGGCTACTGACTTTTGCGTGTTGCTTTTGTATCCTGTCACTTTACTGAATTGATTGATGAGTTGAATTAGTTTTTCTGTGGAGATTTTGGGCTTCTGTATGTATATTATCATATCATCTGCAAATAGTGATAGTTCGACTTCTTCTTTTCCTATTTGGATTCCTTGGATGTCTTTCTCTTGTCTTATTGCTCTGGCTAGGACTTCCAGTATTATATTGAAAAGCAGTGGTGAGAGTGGACATCCTTGTCTTGTTCCAGATCTTAATGGAATTGCTTTCAGCTTTTCACCATTGAGAATGATACTGGCTGTTGGCTTGTCATAGATGGCCTTTATGATGTTGAGGTATGTTCCTTGTATCCCAAGAATTTCAAGGGCTTTTATCATGAATGGGTGTTGCACTTTGTCGAAAGCTTTCTCAGCATCTATTGATATTATCATATGGTTTTTATATTTCTTTTTGTTGATGTGTTGGATAACGTTGATTGATTTTCGGATGTTAAACCATCCTTGTGTCCCTGGAATGAATCCAACTTGGTTGTGGTGAATTATCTTATGGATACATTGTTGGATTCTGATAGCTAAAATTTTATTGAGGATTTTTGCATCAGTGTTCATTAGGGAGATTGGCCTGTAGTTTTCCTTTTTTGTGTTGTCCTTATTCGGTTTTGGTATTAGTATAATATTGGCTTCATAGAACGTGCTTGGTATTGTCCCTTCCTTCTCAATTTTTTGGAAGAGTTTGTGAAGGATAGGCACTAATTCGTCTCTGAATGTTTGGTAGAATTCATTTGTAAATCCATCAGGTCCTGGGCTTTTGTTTTTGGGGAGGTTTTTGATTACCATTTCAATTTCGCTGCTTGTAATTGGTCTGTTTAGGTGTTCTATTTCTTCTTTATCTAGCTTTGGGTGATTGTAGAGTTGTAGGAATTTGTCCATCTCCTCTCTAGATTGTTGAACTTGTTTCCATATAACTGTTCATAGTAGTTACCGATTATTCTTTTGATTTCTGCTGTGTCCGTTGTGATTTCTCCTCTTTCATTTATGATCCTGTGTATTTGTGCTTTCTCCCTTTTTTCCTTTGTGAGCCTGGCTAGGGGTTTGTCTATTTTATTTATTTTTTCAAAGAACCAGCTCTTGGTTTCATTGATCTTTTGGATTGTTTTTTTAGTTTCAATTTCATTTATTTCTGCTTTGGTTTTTATTATTTCTTTTCTTCTACTGGTTTTGGGGTTTTTTTGTTGTTCTTTTTCTAGATCTTTGAGCTTCGAGATTAGGTTGTTTCTTTGAGTTCTTTCTTGTTTCTTGATGTGAGCTTCTATTGCTATATATTTTCCTCTTATTACTGCTTTTGCTGCATCCCATACATTTAGGATATTGGTGTCCTCCTTGTCGTTCAATTCAAAAAATTTTTTAATTTCTTCTTTGATCTCCTCGTTAGTCCAGTGGTCTTCCAGTAGTGTGGTTTTTAATCTCCATGAGGTAGGATAGTTCCTTGCCTTCTTTTTATGGTTTATTTCTAGTTTGATGCCTTCGTGGTCAGAAAAGATGGTTGGTATGATTTCAATCTTGGTCTATCTGTTGATGTTTGTCTTGTGCCCCAGTAT